GGTGCTGGAGTTGGGCCTGGGGGGGCAGGATATGGGCCTGGCGGAGCTGGAATTGGACCTGGTGGTGCAGGGGTTGGACCTGGTGGTGCAGGGTTTGGGCCTGGTGGAGCCGGGGTTGGTCCTGGTGGTGCTGGAGTCGGACCAGGTGGTGCAGGATTCGGGCCTGGTGGTGCAGGGGTTGGAGCAGGTGGTGCTGGAGTTGGACCAGGTGGTGCAGGGGTTGGACCAGGTGGTTCTGGAGTCGGACCAGGTGGTGCTGGAGTCGGACCAGGTGGTGCAGGGGTTGGACCCGGTGGAGGTAGATAAAATGGTTTACATTATACTTACATTCTCTTGTTTATGATAAAAACAAATACAGTGTGTATTCTATTACACAGAAAACGACTATGTATGTATGAATGATTTCTTTTATTTCTGTTTTAGTTCCATTGCTTCCACAGACTGGTACCCCTGGTGGAGGCCCTGGAGGGAAGAGCGGTGGTAAAGCATCAAAACAAGTTCCAGGTAAACTCCTGAATACAATACCGCCTTTGTTTAGTTCAGTTCATAAAGTATGATCAAACCAAAACACTGAATTCTTTGGACAATACTCTCAATTTGCTCACAGGAATAGGAGTGCCTGGGCTCTATCAGGGTGGATTTGTACCAGGCCAAGGCATGTTGTAACACAGGAAACATTAAAAATATATAAACATAGAATATTACATAACACATTGTGAGGAATTCAGATTTTTCTGTCATTTCATTGCCCATTACTAGGTTTTGGAGGCCGTGGTGTTCTCCCTGGAGTGGCTACAGGATCTGGACTTGGGCCTCAGACCGGTGTGTTAATGCTTTTTTACATCTAAGTGTTGGAGTGGAACATTTTGACAAGATGAACGTGCCTAAAAATAAGAATTACTACATTATTCTTTGCAGGGGCCGGTGTACTCGGCCAGGGTGGTGCTGGACCAGGAGGAGCAGGCAGTTAGTATCATAAAGCCCTAAACAATTGATTTTTATTCAACATTAGATCTTTTAAATCTCAATATAATAGAAAATAATTAATACCAATAAATGTTATCCAAGGCTTTCATTTTGGTATTTGACAGGATGAGTGTCTCTGTGTTTTTTTTTTTTACCTTAGATGGTCGTGGACAACAACTGCCAGGGGTTTTTCGTGGTTACCCTCTCATATCACCAAAATCAGGTACACAGGAACCAGCAGTATATTAACCACTGCAGCTCTCAGTAGATTTACATAAACTCAATGATAAATGTAAAGGAAGAAATATGCTCATTATCTATTGAAATATTTATTCTCTCAATTACAGGGGCAGGCAAATCAAAGAATCCAGCCAAAGCTGCAGCTAAATACGGTAAAGACACATTAGTGTGGGCGTCACCCTTACATTCAGCTGTTACGTGAGCATTTAATGTATTATTAAATAACTGGCATGATGCATTAGTATCATCTAGTTACAAAATTTCTAAAAATTGTTTTAGTTCACTTGTTTATTTTCTGAACCAGGGGGAGCTGGAGCAGGAGGAGGTGCACTTGGTCAAGGAGGCGCTTTAGGGGTTGGGGCTGGAAGACTTCCTGGAGGAGGAGCAGGGGTCATACCTGGATCAGGAGGAGGAGTCGGACCAGGAGGTGGACCTGGGTTTGGAGGAGGAGTTGGAACAGGAGGCGGATCTGGTATGGGTAAATCTGATGCAGCCATTAAATATATACACATAACATATATATAATATATATTAAAGCATTGTTTTGTGCCACAGTTTACGGCCCTGGCTCAGCCAAAGCACGCAAATATGGTGAGACACACTTGCACAAACAAGCAAAATAGCATGATGAATATACTTTTCAGGGTATTGCTGAGACACACACATGACTTAATCTCCCCAGGTCAGTCAGGCCTTGGAGGAGGACCAGGTGGAGGAGTTGGGACAGGACTGGGACCTGGCTCAGGCATTGGGACAGGTGGAGCAGGTGGGGGTTATGGTTTCGGTCCAGGCGGCGCAGGCACTGGTGCAGCTGGGGGCCTTGGAGGAGGAGTCAGCCCCGGCACAGGAGTAGGACCTGGCTCTGGGATCGGTTTTGGTCCAGGTGGTACCGGCGCTGGTCCTGGAGGAGCTGGTTATGGGCCCGGTAGAACTGGGTTTGGACCAGGTGGTGCTGGAGCTGGATTAGGAGGAGCCGGAACAGGACCTGGAGGTAACAGTTAATTTAGTGTTTTGGAAAATGTAGCACGTAACTGAACAGGAGCATCTTAAGATATTCTAATCATAGGGATCACTATATTAAAAGTGGAAACTGTATTATAATAGCAAATACAAACATATTATAACTATACTTCTATTTTAGGGTATGATGCCAGTGCCAAAGCTCGTAAATATGGTAAGAACAGTTATGTAATTGAAAAATTGTATGAAACTGTTTTGTTGTTGTAAAACTGTATTTAAAAAAGACTATGAATAAATCTTGTCCTTTAAGGAATGTTAAGTGGAGCACTGGGAGGAACAGGTGCTGGTGGAGTCAGGCCTGGTGGTGCAGGTGCTGGTTACGGACCAGGTGGTGCTGGCACTGGCTATGGACAAGGTGGAGTTGGACAAGGTGGAATCGGACCTGGTGGTGCAGGTACTGGTTATGGACCAGGTGGAGTCGGACAAGGTGGAGTCGGACCTGGTGGTGCCGGTACTGGTTACGGACCAGGTGGTGCTGGCACCGGTTATGGACAAGGTGGAGTCGGACAAGGTGGAATCGGACCTGGTGGTGCTGGTACTGGTTACGGAACCGGTGGTGTAGGTACTGGTTACGGACCAGGTGGAGTCGGAACTGGCGGTGCAGGTACCGGTTACGGACCGGGTGGAGTTGGACCTGGTGGTGCAGGTACTGGTTACAGACCAGGTGGGGTCGGACCGGGAGGTGCAGGTACCGGTTATGGACCAGGTGGGGTCGGACAAGGCGGAATCGGACCTGGTGGTGCTGGTACTGGTTACGGACCAGGTGGTGCAGGCACCGGTTATGGACCTGGGGGAGGAGTTGGACCCGGTGGTGCAGGTACTGGTTACGGACCAGGTGGTGCTGGCACCGGTTATGGACCAGGTGGTGCTGGCACCGGTTATGGACCAGGTGGAGTCGGACCTGGTGGTGCAGGTACTGGTTACGGACCAGGTGGTGCTGGCACCGGTTATGGACCTGGTGGAGTCGGACCTGGTGGTGCAGGTACCGGTTATGGACCTGGGGGAGGAGCTGGACCTGGCGGCGCTGGCTATGGACCAGGAGGTAGGATGAAAGTTTAGGTTTAAGTTAAGGACATGCAGACAAATGTCCAATATTCAAATAGATCCACTGGTGAATACATTTTAATCTTGATGTGTATTTTGCAGGTTATGCTGGTGCCAAAGCCCGGAAATATGGTAAAACCTTTGTTTACAAATATATCTGTTTGTCATCAACAAAAAAAAAAAAACCCATGTATAAACCAAACGTGCTTATATATCAAAACAAAAGTGTCTAAATGCTCTCAGATTAATTTACAGTTTCTAATAAACTGCTGCAGGTCTGCCAGGTGGTGCTGGAGGACTTGGTGCTGGGCCTGGTTCTGGGCTCGGAGTAGGAGGAGGGGTCCCAGGAAGAGGTGTTGGAGTATCAACTGGTGGTGGACCTGGAGCAGGCCTGGGGACTGGTGGAATACCTAGTTCAGGTGTTGGAATGGGAGGTGGACCGGGTGGCTTTGGACCAGGCAGCACTGGAGGTACAAAACAGAAGAACAACTTCATCAGTTCCTGAACTTTTTATTACTGCCCATCTTTAATTCATGTGGATTGTTGATGTATAAATATTAGTGGAGTTTTACCACCAGCATACTGCAGCCTTCTCAGAAATACTGGACTGAATCAACAGAACTTTATCTGTGCACATGAAGAAAAATAAAACTGAACCGAAACTGTGTGCACGTCTTTTAATGCTCTGGTGTTTCTCTCATAGGATATCCTGGGGGAGCCAAGTCTCTCAAATATGGTGCGACTTATACATTACATATTATTTTTGGGATAAACATCATATGAATAATGTTTATAAGAAAACATGCAGTATGCAGTGGTGATTTCAATTTAATCAGTTAGTGTTAAAGCAATAATTTGATGTTTATTATAAGATGGGTCTTCATAATAAGACAATTCTGAGGGAGTTAAACTGTCTAGTAAGTTACAACCTATTCACGACTGACAATGTACTTTCATGCAAAAAAAAACTTGTCAAAGTAGGTATATTTCTTGAACAGCAAACATTTTAAGACTTATTATATTCTATGTCTTCATTAAAGCTCTCCCTCTCCTATTTGCTCCACCGCAGGGCTTCCTGGTGGTGGCGGAGCTCCAGGATCTGGTGTGAATGTGGGATTTGGTGGCCCAGTAGCAGGTGGCATCAGCCCTGGGACCGGAGGAGCACTAGGGACAGACAGAACAGGATACGGGCCTGGTGGATATGGACCTGGTGGATATGGGCCTGTGCCTGGTGCTGGTTATGGACCAGGTGGAGGCTATGGTGCAGGATATGGAACAGGTTTGGGGTCAATTTAAATGCATGATAGATTATGCCAAATCCTAACTTGCTAGAAATCTGTAATTAAATGATAGAAATTATTTATTTTATCTACAGGCTACGGACCTGGATCAAAAGCTGCTAAATACGGTATCAAATTTAAAAAATGTTTTGCTCATTGAAAACATGATTATGTAGCTTTCATCTAAATTCCAGTAACACATCTTTATTATTATTAAACTGGTGTAGGACAAGGTGGGACTGGTGGTGGAGTACTTGGAGGTGGCGTAGGACGAGATGGTGAGTTGTTGATGTATTGAGCACTGCAAATTGAGAACAAGAACGCAGATTGTTTTTCTTCTGTTAGAGCTGATTCTTGGTTCTGTTTGATGGTTTAATCTTTCAATGATACACTTTTTGATGGAATTTCTATTTCTCCATTTGTTATTTTCTGTAGTTGTATAGAGGTTGTGATTGGTTTTCTCTATTTAATAACAAGTATGAACTGTTCTTTCACTGACCTCTGTTGGTGGTTATTCAGAACTACAGGCCCCTTGCATTGGTTGCAGTGGTTTCAAAGTTAACATCTTACATCCCATCATTATACTGCGGCCTAGTAAAATACTACAACTGTCACAATAATGTGATTTGACTGAGATATGTTTATACGCACCTCTTGTTGACTTTACAAGATTATCTCGTTCATAAACTTTAGGACAACCTGGTGGAGTCGGACAAGGGGTAGGAACTGGCACTGGAACTGGAACTGGAACTGGTACTGGCACCGGTACTGGCATTGGAACTAGTACTGGTACTACTACTGGTACTACTACTGGAACTGGTACGGAAGGAGCAGGAACAGGGACCGGCACTGGTGGTTCAGTGAACGGCACCAGCACTGGCAGCGGTGCAGGGACAACAGCTGGACCCAGTGGTGCGCATCTGTTTTAAAGAATCAGAATATGGATTTTTTAACTTTTTAAAATGATTAGGTAAATTATTCACAACTAATAAGATTATCTATGTAATTATTTAGGAGGACTTGGAGGTGCAGGAGGAACACCAGCCCCAGCAACAGAAGGTATCTGAAAAATAATATTTTTTTAGCTTCCAATATGATCATTATCCTAAGTAATTGATTTGACATATCAATAATATATCAATAATCACACATACTGCACTACTTTCAAATCTCAACCCTTGTAATACTCTGCCCTTGTTGCAGGTGATGGTGGTGCTGTCAGTGTGATAGAAGGGTCTGGAAGTTCTGGAGGAGAAGGTGCTTTTACAATTACTGGGGAATTTGAGGCATTAACCCTTGTCTGTGAAATCATGCACAGATGATGTGTGTAGATGACAATGTTCAGGTCCAGTGCTGAGACTGACAGACTCCACTGCTACTGAGGCCTCTTCATTTTCACAGACACCCGTGAAAAAGAAGAGGCACAACAGCAAAACACTAAAATATCATAACCTGAAAAATATAAAACATTTGTTTAAACATGCTTTTCAATATCGTGATGTATATTGTGTGAAGTGTACAAGTGTGAAAAGTCTGTTACGTCAATATTATAACAGGAGGTACAGGTGTAGCTGGCCGGCCAGTGGGAGCAGGTGGTGATGGAGACGGCCTGAGTGGAACAGGAATCCCCATCATTGGAGCAAAACAGGGTATTTTTGTGATTATACATTTTATTGCAACATAAAGGTGCTAATTTATTTGGTTAATAATTCATTCAGGAGTGTTTGTAAATAGTATTAGTGGTGGAATAAACTTATCTGTCTTGAGTTTCTATATTTAGACTTCATCTGTGTTGTCTTACCACTTATATGCTTTTAAAATGAATGACTTTATTTATTTATCTTTATAAAACAGGACTCAATGGGACCGAACTTCCAGGTCAGTGTTAATTTAATTTTTAGAGCTTTTATATGATTGTGTGTTCATCCAATCCTGTCAGAGACCACGGAGTGTGGACAGTGCAACCATGTGGCATTTACATAATGTTTATATATTTACTTGTACTACAATATGACTGATACCGCTATTTGACATTTCTAGCATTCTAATACAATTTCAACAACAAAAATGTTGAATTGGATCTTTTGAATATACTTGTGTTGAAATGATTTTGTTTGTATGTTTACATTACCCTTACATTAGGTCATGAATCAAGTTTGCATAGATAAGAGAAAAAAACATAGTGTTCTCAAAAACCTTAAATGTTCTGATGCAGACTTTATATTCACAAATCAAAATTAAAAGGCCACAAAATCCACTCTCCTGCGATAATTCTGATGACATTTGAAGGAATACTTAACTCATGTACTGCCTGCAACTTCTAAAAGCAACACATTTACTTACATCCTTTATATCTGGAGAAACATTTTTTTCTCTTATCCCTCAGGTTCCACAGGACCTGGTAAGTTTGCATAAAGTTTCCTGTTAATAGTGCTTGATATAAGGATATAAAGTATAGGCCTTTGTAAAAGCATGGGCATATGTGCATAACCACTCTGTTAAAATACTCAATATTGATGCAGAATATTTCTTCACTTAAATACTTTCACAGCTGTCACTGGTTCACTTGTGCCTGAGAGCGAGTGTCTTTTCTCACACTTTCTGTCAATTGAGGACCTCTCTTAACAGTATTTCTATTCTTCTTTGGGGCTGAAAATATTGGGAATTCATTTCCTGACTTTTCTAAAGTTTCTCTGTATATTTTTTTAGGTGATGTCTCAAGTGGGACTCTGCCTGGAGTCAAACCTCTCAAACCTCCAGGTGACAAAAATAAATCCAGATGAAATAAATTATTTTCCACTTTGTTAAAATCTATGATCAATTCAGAATAACAAAACTTCAGTTTCATACCACTCACTCAAAAGTAAAAATACCACATGGGAGCTCTCCTCACCTGGCGTCTTCTCTGTAAAGGTGGTTTGGAGGTTAATAGTTACTTCTCTAATTTCTTCTTTCAAACAAGTTTGCTGTCCCTCTGTGTCCTGTCCGCAGGTGTCCCCAGAGGTGACACACCAGGTGAAGGAGACGGTGAGGGAGGTCCTGATGGTGAGAGAGAAGGTACAACAGGCACTGGCGGAGGACCAGGAGGAGTAGGAGGCAGTCCCACCAGTGCAGGAGGAGCTGGTGGAGTTTCAGGTGGTCTAACAGGTGTGGGAAGAGGAGACAGTGCTGTTAATGGAAGTGGAGTTGGAACAGAGGGTGCAACTGGTGGAGTAGGAGGAACATTAAAACCACCTAAAGGTGCCATCTGAATAAACCATCAGTATATATATATATACATATACAATACATCCAAAAAAGCCTAACTGAAAATACTGAAGAAAAATATTTTTTATATGTTTATTCCTTATTTAGCATTTGGACATGATGGGACTGGGGTAGGAGGCACAGGTGGTGGACCTGGAGGAGTTGGAGGAGGTCCTGGTGGTGTTGGAGGAGGTCCTGGTGGTGTCGGAGGAGGTCCTGGTGGTGTTGGAGGAGGTGCTGGTGGTGTCGGAGGAGGTCCTGGAGGAGTTGGAGGAGGTCCTGGAGGAGTTGGTGGAGGTCCTGGTGGATTTGGAGGAGGTCCTGGAGGAGTTGGAGCCGGTCCTGGGGGTGTTGGAGCCGGCCCTGGAGGAGCAGGCTTGGTCACTGGGGCTGGTGGGCCCGGCGGAGTAGGAACCGGAGCCCTTAAACCTGGAAAAAGTGAGTTGTTATATGTTTTAAACTCTTAAATATTTGCGTATTCGGCCCAAAGTTTCATACCTACACCTATACTACAATGATATATTCATACGCTATTTACATTTCACACACTATCCATCACAGGCTATGGTGCTGGTGGAGTTTTACCAGGTGGAGGTATGCTGACTTAAGTTATCTTTACCATCTAAATTATTGTAAACTCATGACTGAAACAACCTAAAATCTTTTTTTCTCTCAGGTTTACGTTACCCATCTGGAGCTGGAGTAGGACAAGGAGCAGGAAAATCAGGCAAAGGTTCTATAAACTTTGAATTTTACAGTCATCTTAAACCCAAATTCTGGTATCAGCGATGAAAGAAATCACATTAAATGTCTTTATCTTTCCATCAGTATATGGAGTTGGTCCTGGCGGCTATGGTACTGCTCCAGGAGGTTATGGCGCAGGACCAGGAGGTTACGGGGGCGGCCCAGGTGGCTACGGCACTGGGCCTGGTGGATATGGAGCCGGACCTGGAGGGTATGGAGGCAGAGGCATTGGCGGTGGTGCTGGAGCTGCTGGAACACTTGGTGCAGGAGGAGTTGGAATTGGTCCTGGTGGAGTGGTCCCTGGTGGAGTTGGGGGATATGGTGGTGGTGTGGGTCCTGGTGGTAAGTTGACCTCTGTGAAACCAGTATAATAAAGATAAAATAAGTAAGTTTTGTTTTGGTATTAAAAAAAACACATTTAAAAGATACGTCATTGAAATATTGGTTTTCTGTTCATTTCATATGCTCTGGCAGCAGGTTCAAGATATGGCACAGGTCAAGGTCTGGGTACCGGCACCAGAAAACCAAATAAAAGTAAGATAAGGAATGAAAGAGATTCAGAGTGAACATACAGATGACAAATAGTTAAAACTGGACCACTGTATTACAGGTTATGGAGCAGGGGGTCAGGTTGGGCCTGGTGGATATGGGACTGGAGCAGGTGGTTTTGGGCCTGGCGGTGCTGGTGCTGGTAATTATGGACGTGGTGGCTCTGGAGGTGCCGGGGAAGGACTCGGTGGTGTCGGAACCAGGCCGGGTGGTTATGGACCAGGTGGTGTAGGCACAGGACCAGGCAGCTATGGACCTGGTGGATCAGGGGGCATTCCTGGTGTTTATACTGCTGGTGGTCAAGGACTGGGGACAAGAAAACCACCCAAATCAGGTATTATCAGCATGTACTTTAATATTGACAATATTTAATAATGTATTATTTTTTAAGATAAATTCAGACAGTCACATCTTTCTGACTTCAGGCTATGGATCATCTTCACTTGGTGGAGCTCAAGGTATGAAACTTCTGAAGTGTATTTCTCTCTGTCTTTCTTCATGATATATACATTCATATCCTATTATATATATGCAGATCATAACTTGCTAATCATTACAAATACTTTGTCTTTTATGCTAGCACTTCTCGTAGAAGTTCTGTTTTTTGTAAGTGTAAAACAAAGGTAGGTTTTTAAAAATATATTGCTTTTTCCCATGTGCAGGGGCTTTACCTGGAGGAACAGGAACTGGAGCTGGCACATATGGGCCTGGTGGTTTTGGGCCAGGAGGCACTGGCACAGGAACAGGAGGCTACGGACCAGGTGGCGCCGGCAGAGGAACAGGAGGATTTGGACCTGGCAGTGCTGGTGGAGGGACAGGAGGCTTTGGACCAGGAGGCTACGGACCGGGTGGCACTGGCACAGGAGGCTTTGGACCCGGTGGCACCGGTACAGGAACAGGAGGCTTTGGACCCGGTGGTACCGGTACAGGAACAGGAGGCTTTGGGCCTGGAGGCACTGGCACAGGAACCGGAGGCTTTGGACCAGGTAGCGGAGGCGCAGGAACGGGAGGCTTCGGAACAGGGGGGCAAGGATATGGAAAAAGAAAACCTTCTAAATCCGGTAAATTCTGATCAAATAAGTGAAGTAATATGGCAAGAAAATAAAGATAATAATTGTACTGATGGCGACACCTTTGATTATGATTAATAAGAAGAGTGATGAGAAGAATAATGATTGATTTTACCCTTTCTTATCTTTTTTTCAGGTTATGGATCAGGTGAGGTTTGGGTTTGGTTTATTTGATTTATTTTTTTATACATTAATGTTGTTGTATTTTTATTATAGCCCTTTATTTTTTATTAAAATTCCGATAAGACTAACACCAGTTTTAAAACAGAGCGTTATAACCTCCATGGTGGGAGGATTTATCACTGGAATATCACTAATAATATAATACACTGTATAAGCTTTAGCTAAAAATAAATTAAAAAATATATAAATATACTGTGCTGTTTACCAGCAGCAGGAGCAGGAGCAGGTCCTGGTGGAGCTGGAGTTGGACCTGGAGGCTATGGCCCTGGAGGATATGGTCCAGGTGGAACTGGATCAGGTCCTTTTGGTTATGGACCTGGGGGTGCTGGACCTGGTGGTTTTGGCCAAGGAGGTGCTGGACCAGGTGGTTTTGGTCCAGGAGGTGCTGGAACTGGGCCAGGGGGTTTCAGACCTGGTGGGGCTGGTGGATATGGGCCTGGTGGCCAAGCACTTGGGTCAAGAAAGCCTTCTAAATCAGGTTATGGCTCATCGTTGGGTGGAACCGGCTACAGACCAGGTAGAATTCTCCTTTGATGAATTTTAATATTACATTTAAGTTCTCTGTGGGTTATGGCAAAGAGATACTGAAAAAACAAATGTAAAATAAATGTAATTTCTTCAAATACCTTGATATGATTGATGTTGTTTACTGGAACCATGTGACATTACATCATTCATAGGAGAGTGTTATGCTTCAAAGCAACAGGAAATGAGTCTGGGTCTGGTCAGGAAGTAGGAACTTATAAAATCAAACTCCTTTTATCTTGTTGTTATTCATGGCATCACGTCAACTCCATGCAGACAGGCCTTGTTTCCGATATACACACACACACACACACACAAACACACATATATATTAATATATATTATATAGCTTTTTGGATTGAGGATAAAAATGTAACCAACAAAATAATTTTTGAATCCTTGTCCCCATGATAAAACTGGATTAGTGACCAGTCTCTTCTTTTGGTTTATTAACTTGTTGCTGTGTTTTCCATTTTCACACAGTGGGTAATTAACATATCTTTTATATAACTTGTCATTTATGGAATCTAATACCTCTAACCACACCTGTGTTCATCAGGTGGAGGAGCAGGGGGGGTTCCTGGTGGAGGAACAGGGGGCGTCACTGGAGGTGGCACAGGTGAGTTTCTAGTTTATAAAGAAAAATTATTTAAAAAAAAGGAATACATATAACAGAGGAGAAGAATTAAATTTAAAGGATGCATCAAATTACAGTTTGATATCTCTTCGCACCACATTTATTATTGGTACGTATTGGACACTGTCTGGTATTGATGAAAAATCTAAAGCAGTGGAGCCTCTCCTCTCTTATGATTATCTTCTAAGGTTTTTAGGCCCTTGAGTTATTTCTAAATAAGTTTATACTCACTCATGCATTCAGGCAGTGTAGCAGGAGGAGGAGGAGGAGCAGGAGGGGCTGCAGGAACAAGCCCGGGGGCAGGAGGAGTGGGCGGCTTACCAGGTCAGTTTAAATGAAGCACTGACAAAGTAAAGGACAGTAATCTCAGAGTATTATAACTGTCAATTTTACAGTTTTAGAGTTGACAACAAATGCATTCAGACACATGTAAACACCTTGCCTAGAGTTGCTATGTCATGTGGGTTGTAAAATCTCCATTGTTCCAGCAGGGGGAGTTGCCCCTGGATATGGTGGGACAACTGGGGGAGGATATGCAGGTAAAACACCATTTCCATTCCTGTTATTGCTGAGAGAATACACAGGGTAAATGACATCATTGTAAAGATTACCATTTTTTTATTGTTCATTTCCTGTTAATGTTTTCTAGGCTATGCGGGGGCCGGGCAAAAATGTAAGAAAACTCACCATTTCCTGTGTCTTTGATTATCAGTTTCGAACACATGTCCACCAACTGAGCAATTTATTACGAAAACCATACTAACTCTGGGTATGAACGGGTAAATTAAGGCCACAAAGAGCATCAAAAATACGATGTGGGAGGCTGTGGCATAAAAACTGTGATCTTTTTCAAGCTATTTCATCAGAGCTCATCTGTCTGACCACAAATTAACCTCTGGGGGCAACGTCCAATATTTTTGGGGCTTCTGGTGTAGACAGAGAGTAGACCGGGCCAAGACTCTATCTTCCATTCGCCGTACACCATTTACAGACAGGCTAGGTTTTTTTTTATCACATAATCAGGTCAGTGTTTCAGGGCTTCGTTATTTTCTCTGTATGAAAAACCACATAGTCGATCAAACAGTGCCCAACAATTTATCACCATGTCTGGCAGTAGAGGGCGCTGTTACTCAGTAAAAGTTACATAGTGTTGTTTTAAGTTTTGGAGTAATTCTAGAGGCTCTAATCTTAAGCACAAAAGACGTACATTTTGAATTTGTTGTTTTATTATGTCAAATATAAAATGTTTGAGAAAAATTCTGTTGTGTAGGCTTTTATAATCTGTAATCGTAGAATCTCAGAGCCTGTATATATCTGCAAAATAAAAAAAATCTTTCTTGTCCCATATTTATATAGCTAAGGCACAGAAGGCAGCCAAATATGCAGCAATGCAGGCATTACTGGGATCTGGAGCCTACAGAGGTAACAATCACACATATTGTTTTGCTTTGCAGTAATCTCTATCTGTTCACTGTAAAACACTGGGCTGGATTTATGTGAAATCCAGTCATCAGAGGAAGTTTACATAGACACACACCATATTATCTCTCTTCCCAGATTACACTGTATGATGATTAAAATTCACCCCACTCTAAGATGACAGAATGTTTACTGGCTTATTACAAAATTATTATTTTACATTACAAGTTCAAAGAAATTCTTTATCTAAGTCAGTTTTTTGTGTGTTTCATGTAGAATTATCTCAATATGTTTTACAATGAGATTTTCTTTTTAAACTTATACAATAATTTGTTCTACGCTCTGGTTTTTAGGTGCTGGCTGTCAGGGCAAGTACTGTGGTCGAAGGAGGAAGTGAGAGACCAGGAAACAGGAAGTGACCTCATTGAAACAATAGTGGTGCTACTGCATGATCCCAGATTGTAAATGTCTAACCTGCCATTGAAGCTAAAGCTTAAACACATTACACATGTTATCTTTTCATTTGCTTAGATCTTATACAAAGGTCTCTTTCAAAAAGAGAAATGGTTCTCAACTTGTAAGGCTGTTCAGTTCCTTAAGACAAAATGCATCATTGTCACGTTGTTTTTAAAAATAATAATTAATCAAAAATATTCACCATATCAGCAGAAAAAGCACATGTTAAAATCAGTCTGAATGAGGAAGTACATGTAAAAAAAAGTAGAATTTTTTTACCCATAAATCACCTTGTGATTCTCTAAGGATCCTGACTTTCAGGCTGAGAACCACTGAAATAAAGGATTTCTTTTAATTGTATGACCAAGCTGTGCTATACAACAGTTTTTGCTTATTGTTGAAAATCCTTTGCATTCCTGTTAAAGTGTCACCATGAATCCTTGGTGGGTGAGTCCTTCAGGGCAGCTCCTTAAGTCTGGTTTGTAAAACTTCTCCGAGGTCACGTTTTTATCCAGTAAGACTGAACTTTAGTATCATGTTTGTTTCACTCATTCACTGTTTTTCAACCTTTACATCAAAGTGCAAACAATGCGACAGTCTGTTCGGCAGACAGAAACACACGGCAGCTATTTTGGGGGACAGTGAACAAAAGGGACTCTTGGTGGGATTTTTCATGGTGCAGTGTTTTTGTTTTCCTTATCTGATCCCTGAAAAGCCGGCTGTGTTCATTATGACTGTGCTCAAGCCTAGGAGGCTGAAGGTCTTTAGCTATTAACACATGAGACTTGTCTTCTACTCCATTCACAAGAACCAAAGGCACTGTTTTATAGCTAAATTGATTTCAATGTAAGATTATGTTTAACATGCATATTTTAACATTGTTAGAAGGATGTATTTGTTATGATATTCTGACGTGGCTTAAATTTGACTTTTACATTTGCTGTTGAGGAAAGCATTTCATCTAAATGTGAGATAATATGATTTGAAGCCATAATGCATTTAAATGACATCTGAGGAGCATTACTGCGATTACTATGTACCTTTTTCTTCGTTTTTTGATTTAACTGCTTTAACACTGTTGGAAATTGTTCACGTTTACGCGCCGTTTTAAATTATGCTGAGGAAAAGCAGAACTAAATCTTTAGCTATTTAGTCAACAATTCAAATGAATTAACACAGTATGAATTATTTTAGTTGTTGTGTGTGAGTGCGTTTTAACAGTTTTTAAAGTTTTGTAGTACTATGATAAATATAAGTGCTTTGTTTTCTACATTGACCTTGAATGTGTGCTGAATCACACTGTAGCCTGTGATATCACAGGGACAAAACAGTGTAACTGAATCTCATCTTTCATTTGAGCGTAACATTTGTGTTTCTATCATGTAGCTCAACATGTCTTTTTTTATACCTGTGTTTTTTTACATGGCCTATGAAAAAAAATTGTGCACTTTTGTACACTTTCCGACAACGCTCTCTAAAATAAAGAAATGACCAACTACTGCTGTTGTTGTCATTTAAACACAGCTACGATCATTTAGTATTTTGCACAAGCATAATGTGTAAAACATTCACAAGAGGTTTGTCTGCACAAGGCAACGGAAAGAAGCTGCAGATTTGGAGGCAAATGTGCTGATCTGCTGTGGTTCTCACCACCACAAGTTAAGCCCAAAAGGGAAACACAGCACAGCTTCAGCAGATAAATAAAGAAGTAAATGCTGCAGACAAACTGACCAAATACTGAACAAGTATGATGAACAAGTACTGAACAAGTATGATGCCGAATACACTGATCTACGTTCAAGTGTTGTACACGTGTATCGGCAGAACCTCTCGTTACCTCGGCTACATCCCCAATTACTTATTGTCCAGACTATGACGTCTTTGGCGAAATATGGCATCATCTTATCTGGGATATTTTAGCTTCATTTCTGAATAGCAGCAGGAAGTGGAGATGTGTCATCCATCTTTATATACAATCTCGGAGAAACACCAGCACCACAAACACCTGTTTCTGTCAATCAGTTTGTAGGACCTGCACTGTCCATAAATCCATTTGTTGATATGGTATAAATTCAGAGACTGGACTTATTATAGAAAATGCAATTAAAAATCCAATTAATAACCCTCTAACTAACCAATGTTAAGCGCTGTCAATGACTTTGTTAAAAGTCTGATTGTGTTCCAGCAAAAAACTGTTAACATCCTATTTAACATCATCAACGGTTTATTTCCTCGGATTCAAACCCATTCCCTTTCCTTTGCACTTTCACAGAATTCTCCCTCCTTTTTTGTTGTGTGTGATGAATAGAGTGCTTTACTGTCGGATCAGGACATTGCAGTAATTGGGGCATTCATAAAGAGATTAAGCCTGTGCTGATAGGAAACAGAGCTCAGTTCCAAACACACAGGCGTGCAGACCCTCTCACACCACTTCTGAGAAAAACACAGACTCATATTAACTCCTATTAACACTCATGTAGGTTCACGTGTAAGAGCCTGTAAGCCTAACCCTCCCACAATCTTTTGACTCAGCAGAAGAGTGTAACTGTATCTTGCAGAGGTCTACATACTGGAAGGAACGGCAGGGGGAGGGTGGAGCACAACTTCTTTAATGGGATAGGTCTGTTTCTCTGCAGCCGGCAGAGGGAGACTGGGCAGCTTCTGTCAGTGGTTCAGAGTTTTTTTTTTCTCTGCACATTAGAAAGGGTACACAAGAAGCCTCTGAGCGCATGGAGAGAGACCTGCCACCGCTCACAGTACATATATGATCCGCTCGTGAACACATGCTGCTAACGAGGCCATTTCTTCACTGGGTGGATTGTTTCCGAGTTGTCTATCTTTGAACTGACAGGGCAGGATGTCACGGCGGGACCAGAGGTTTCGGAGAGGAATGAAAGGACGGTAAGAGCCACTGTTTTTAACTGGTGAGATGTGAATGACTGAAAGGAGTGAAAAGCGGGTGAAAGTCAGTAGAAGAGAATCTAAGAAAACTGTAGCTCAGCACTTCCTCAAAAACAATCGCGTTGTGACGAACAGATACAAGAGGAACTTCTATCTTACTTTCACATCAACATATGTATGAGAAGTTTGTAAATCCAAAACAATGAGAAGAAACATTACTGCCTTGTCAGTGATTGAAGCAGCGAATAGTAAAACACATAACTGCACTTTTTCTCTTTGTTTATTATGATCCCTGCCATCAACCACTCTTTCTTATGTCATACATAAAGAATAAACTCCAAATAGCCACACCTATACTGCATACTGTACATAACACCATACGGACAACATCCCTGCAACTCTCAACACAATACATTTTGAGTGAAAACAAATGTTTCCTGTTAAAAGCTGCTGTTTCTTTTAAAAGGAAGTTCAGCAGGGTGACACAGACACAACAGGGAGGAAACCGTGGCAGGAGAATACGTCATTAGATTTCTAACATTTGACCCAGGTTAATGTCCTGACATTTTTATGTACGCTAGGTGCAAGTGTGTCTGCAGCTCCACTTTAAATAACACAGGGACAACCACAAGGAGGTTAATGAATGAAGATGAAGATGTAGCTTGAGTCGGATGAAGGTAACACTTTCAGGTAGACAAAATGAGAACTGTAAGTAGAGAAAAGGGAGGGAGGA